GCCAGGAATTTTCCCACCTCTCTGGGAACCCTCCAGCTCCAGCAACAGGACCAACTCATTGGGGGAAGCTTGGCGAAAGCAACCTGCCTGGAGAGCGATTCTTGGAGGGAGTCGGGCTGGGGTCCAGGAGGATGCAGGACAAGCGCAGACCACCGTCTGCAGGGAGATGCTCTGGTGCAGGGTGCTCCTGGGGGGAGTTTTGGATGGTGGGGGGGATCCCTCCTGTTCTCCCCTCCTCTGTGCTTTTTGACAGCTTGAAGAGGCACCGGGAGCTTAATTGCAATAGGATAAGCATAGAGGGAAACTGGCTGCCATCTGAAGGCATTAATAACTCTCTCGGATGTTTGCAGACTCGATCATCCCCGAGCCAGCTCATCTCCAGCTGGCGAATGGCTCGCACCGCTGTGCTGGCAGAGTCGAGGTGCTTCACCAGGAGGAGTGGGGAGCCATCTGCGACCGCGGCTGGGATAAGCAGGATGCCGAGGTTGTGTGCCGGCAGCTGGGCTGCGGGACAGCGCTGCCAGCATTGGAGGGGGCAGACTTCGGTGCCGGACCCCCACGCGTCTGGCTGGACAACGTGAACTGCCAGGGGACAGAGCCGGCCCTTACGAAATGCCGGGCAAGCCCGTGGGGAGAGAGCAGCTGCAGCCACGGAAAGCACGCCAGCGTGGTATGCTCAGGTGGGTTTCACTCCGGCACCAGCAGTAGTTCAGGATGCACCGGTGTTTTCCCCCATCTCAGTTGGGAGCAAGATGCCAGCTTCACCCCACTTGCTGCTGGGTAAAGTACCCCTAAACCCTTTGAGGAGTTTCTCCATAAGGTGGGGATGAGATGCTGTGGGTTCAGAGGTGATGTGACCACGCAGCACTGGCTACGTGCCAAAACGCAGGGTCCTTCCTCCTCCTGTGAAGGGGCTGGATGCTCTGAGCATCTCCCTGCCTGTTTCCAGGCTCGGCTGTTTCCAGCTTTGCCCCAGTCCGGCTGGTGGACGGCCCAGGTCACTGCGCCGGGAGAGTCGAGGTGTTTCACAATGAGAAATGGGGGACAGTGTGCGATGACAGCTGGGACTTTGCGGATGCCAAAGTGGTGTGCCGGCAGCTGGACTGCGGGACGGTGGTATCAGCTCCGCGGCGGGCTCACTTCGGGCAGGGACAGGGACCCATCTGGCTGGACGACGTGCGCTGCACGGGGACTGAGGCAGCCCTCTCCGAATGCAGAGCCAAGGGCTGGGGTGTCCATGGATGTGAGCATGGAGAAGATGCCAGTGTGGTGTGCTCAGGTAACCACCGCCCGTTGTGGCACCAGGAGCACTGCGGCAAACCTTACCACGGTCCTCCTGCACTGGGGTTTGACTCTGCTTTCCTCTGTGGGTGCAAGGGCTTGTGATGCAGGAACAGTTTGCAGCCAGCCTGGAAACCCTTTGCTTTGAAGTCAGCCCCTCGTGGTCCATCCTGGTGGAAGAGGGCAGCTGTATGCAGACATTAAAGTCCAAGAAAAACAAATGGCTTGCCCATTTCCATGGCTATTGCTAAAAATACGGTCTCTGGCATGCTTTTGGCTGATGCTATTTATCACAAATCCTGGCAGCTAGCACGGGCCAGAGACCATTCCCATTGAGCAAATTACAACACAGCCACCTACTTCTTCACAGCAGGGCAGACTGCAGTACGAATGGGCCTTCTCCCACTACGGTCAGGGAGGACTCTCCAACACCTTTGGTTGATCCATGGTAGATGTACCCCATGATGCTCAGAGCTGTGTGAGCCCATGGGAGCCCATCTCCCATCCCTCTCTCTCCTCTCCAGCTCTGACTTTCTGCCAGAGGAACCCTGCAGTCCATTTTAGTGACTGTTAAGAAGCTGGGGCCACTGCGTTGCAACCAGGTTGCTTAATATCAGGATGGACTTTGCTTAATATCTGGGTGTCACTGACTGAGACAGCCAGAGTTGAATCCGGTTGCCCCAGCATGGGAAGGTAGCATCTCACCCTAGTTGGGCTAAGAGATCCTGCAGGAAAACCTGTGCTCTTCAGGAGCAGCAGGTGAGGTATCCCAGGAGTCCCACATGGCACAAGGACACCTACATCTTGGCAACTGGACCCTGCCCTATGCGTCTGCTTTAGGAGAGCAAACTATATAAGGCCCATTGACTATAGTCTGGTCAAGCCCATGCTAATCAATCCTTGGGCACCACTTGGGCCAGTTCACATCACACCTCAAAGGTCTGCCCTCTCTGTCGTTGCAAGAGTATCCTTGACCCCCAAGGCTGCTCAGCCTCTGGTGTAAACCCATTGCTAGCAGCCAGAGGTTTCACAGGGCAGAAGGTATCCCCTTAACGTGTGTACGCTCTCTGATGTTGTAGGATCGGGCATTTCTGACCTCGGAAGCCTCCGCCTGGTGAACGGCTCAGACCCATGCTCTGGGAAAGTTGAAGTGTTTCATGATCAGCGCTGGGGGGGCATCTGCACCGACGGATGGGACCTGGCTGAAGCCCACGTGGTGTGTCGGCAGCTGGGCTGTGGGGCAGCGCACTCGGCCATGGGGTCTACCCGGTTTGGGACAGGAGATGGCCTGATCTGGGTGGATGCTGTGGAATGCATCGGGATGGAGGGGGCCCTTTTTGAATGCAAGGTCAAGTTCTGGGGTGCCAACAGCTGCAAGTCGAGGGGGCATGCAGGCGTCTCGTGCTCTGCGGCTGCAGGTCAGTGGTGGTGAGTCAGGGATCAGTCCTCCCCTGGGGGAGGCTGTGCAGTCCGACCAAATTCGCCCATCCAGCTCCTCCTTGTCCTGGCTCAACCACCCCTTGTTTCTGTGGTCCCACCAGGAAGCACAAGGTATTTTCTGTTTTGAGGTCTACCAGTCCCTGGCTTCCCTCAGGCAAAGTGCTTGGAAATCCCAAGCCTGGGATTCCCAGAAATCGCAAGCCTGTAAGACGTAGGCTTTCCATTGCACACAAAGAGCCTTGGCACACCAGGGTTGCAGCTGCCCTTGTGGGGTTTTTTTGATCCATACTACTGCACAGCCTCTAGTCCTCAGGGAGTGCCTTCTCTTCACCAAGCTATTCCTTACTCAGGTGCACGATGCACTTGGTGCCTCCTTGCCTGCTTGTCCCCATAAGGATACTCACATCATGGGAAGCTCCTCTGTAACTTGGCGAGGTTCACAATCTACTGGGCATGGCCTAGCAAGCTTGTCCCAAAAGGTGTTCAAGCATGCACACCCAGGGTGTGGTAGTAGCAGAAATGCTACATGCTGGTGGAGACCTTGCAAGACTCCTTGCAAGGGAAGGTCCACCACATTGCAGCCACTGGACAGGCAGGCATTTCTGGCCAGAATTTATTGTCCTCCGATTCTGTTTTTAGACTTGGAGCCAGGGAGCTCAGAAACCCTGCGGCTGGTGAACGGCCGACACCGCTGCACCGGGAGGGTGGAGGTCTTTCACAACCAGCAATGGGGGACCATCTGCGATGACGGCTGGGACCTGAACGATGCGGCCGTGGTGTGCCGGCAGCTGGGCTGTGGGCCAGCCATATCAGCTCCAGGTTTATCTGGGTTTGGGCAAGGATCTGGCCCCATCTGGCTAGATGGGGTGAGTTGTCTTGGGACAGAAGCCACCCTCGCTGAATGCCCGGTCAAGCCTTGGGGACACCATGCATGTAACCACATGGAAGATGCCAGCGTTGTGTGCTCAGGTAATCCTCCCCACATGTTTTCACTGTAAGATGGACCAAGCCCTGTCCTTCTGGGAACAGCTTGGGAGCAGCTTGGGAACAAGCTGGCCAACAAATTGCCCAGGTCAGTAGAAACCACATTAAAATAACAGTGTTCAGAGACATGGGAAAATATGATATACTGGGAAAAAAGCCACATTGCTTAAGACATGCCTCAGCGTCTGGTACCATTGGAGGTGTCCAAGATGTCTTCATGGAGTGAAGCATCTGCACCCTTTGAGAACGGTAGCTGGAGGGTGCATGGATGCTGCTTGAGTGGCAGCAGATGCAACTGCACCCTGCCCCAGCTCAAGAGCAGGCAGAGCGACTTGCGGTGCTGACACTGTAAAATGTCAGGATGTGCAGATAAATGCAGAAAGATGCACTGGAATCAACTGCTCTCAGGTGATACACCACTTTTGAACTAGCTGCTACCAGTCTAGCCTTGGCCTTAGAAGGTCAACCTCCACGGACAGGTCAATGTGGCAATCAGACGCACTCAGGACAGGGACAACCAGAAAAAGATCCTTTGCCATTTCCTCTAGGGCAAGAAGTGGGTAGCGCCAGGTGAACCTAGGTGATGGAGCTTCCAAGCAAGGGGGAAGGAAAGCACAGAGAAACACTGGGAAGGACCCTTGTGCATCCCTTCTTCCCAGCACAGTGTCCCTCAGGTGGAGACACATGCGCTTTCTCCTGTCCTGACCTCTGAACCAGCGTGCAACCACCCTCAGGGTGCAACTGGCGGAAGGGATCTTCTGCAGCTCCTTCCACCCTGCAAAAAACCCGTGTGCTCACTTTGCTGCAAGTCCCTGATAAAGGGCAAGGGACATACAAGCTCGCTGCAGCAATGCCATCCAGAACTGCCACAGGGATGTCCTGCCCTCTCCAGCCCAGCAGGCTTTGAGACACACAAGCATATCCCTAATGATGCCCGGTTTTGGGTATTTTTCAGGCTCGGGGATTGCCAGCACCTCCAGGCTTCGTCTGGTGGGTGGTTTGAGCGAGTGCGCCGGGAGGGTTGAGGTGTTTTATAACAACGAGTGGGGAACGGTCTGCGACGATGGCTGGGACCTGAGTGACGCGGCAGTGGTCTGCCGGCAGCTGGGTTGCGGGATGGCCCTCTCAGCCCCTGGCTCGGCTCGATTTGGGTGGGGAGCCGGCCCCATCTGGCTGGATGACGTGAGCTGCACAGGAGAGGAAACCGACTTCTCCGAGTGCCGAGCCAAGACGTGGGGCATCCGCAACTGCCACCATGGGGAGGACGCTGGCGTGGTGTGCACAGGTGAGAGCCGGGACGGGGCTGGCCAGAGGCAGAGCTCCTGCTGGTACCCAGAGACAGACAGCTGGCTGCCTTTGGAGGAGATGCTGTGTGCAGGGCTGGTGTAGGAGCTTCTTGCAGCTCTCACCCATGTGTATCTCCCAGACCTTCACCTCAAGGCCAAGTGCAAGGTCCTGCACTTGGGTTGAGGCACTCCTCACTATCAATCCAGGCTGGGGGGGGGAAGGCGACGGGTGAAGGGATTGAGAGCAGCCCTGCCGAGAAGGACTTGGGGGTATTGGTGGACGAAAAGCTGGACATGAGCCAGCAATGTGCACTTGCAACCCAGAAAGTCAACCGTGTCCTGGGCTTCATCAAAAGAAGCTAGCAGGTTAAGGGAGGTGATTCTGCCCCCCTACTCCGCTCTGGTGAGACCCCACCTGGAGCACTGCGTCCAGCTCTGGAGTCCCCAGCGCAAGAAAGACATGGACCTGTTAGATAGGGTCTAGAGGAGGCCACAGAAATGGTCAAAGGGTTGGAACACCTCTCCTATGGAGAAAGGCTGAGAGAGTTGGGGCTTTTCAGCCTGGAGAAGAGAAGGCTCCAGGGAGACCTTATTGCAGCCTTTCAATATATAGATGGGGCTTATAAGAAAGACGGAGAGAGACATTTTACCAAGTGACAGGACAAGGGTCAATGGTTTTAAACTGAAAGAGCGTCAATTTAGATGGGACATAAGGAAGAAATGTTTTATGATGAGGGTGGTGAGACACGGGAACAGGTTGCCCAGAGAAGTTGTGGATGTCCCATCATTGGAAGTGTTCAAGGTCAGGTTGAATGGGGCTCTAAGCAACCTGATCTAGTGGAAGATCTAGTCCCTGCCCATGGCTGAAGGATTGTACTAGATGATCTTTAAAGGTTCCTTCCCACACAAACCATTCTATGAGTCTATATTGGAAGTGTTCAAAGTCTGGTTGGATGGGGCTTTGAGCAACCTGATCTAGTGGAAGATGTTCTTGCCCATGGAAAGGGTGTTGGACTAGATGGTCTTTAAAGGTCCCTTCCAAACCAAACCCTGCAGCCAGGCATCACACCCAGGGTTTTATCCCCCTGGTATAATGGCAGCACTCAGCCACATCAATCCCTTTTGTACTCAATGCTACCAATGCCCGAACGCTGGCCCTGCCCTGCTCCTCCCTGGAGGCACGCAGGATGCTGCAGGTGGGGGGTGATCCAGAGATGCAGGCAGGGCGTGATCCAGGGATGTGGGGTGCCCTGCAGCCACACATCCGCCTATTTCGCTCTCCACAACAGCAGGCAACTCTAGCTTAGCCAACCTCCGGCTGGTGGATGGGCCACACCGTTGCACCGGGAGGGTGGAGGTGCTCAACGCTGGGCAGTGGGGGACAGTCTGCGATGACGGCTGGGACCTGAATGATGCAGCGGTGGTGTGCAGGCAGCTGGGCTGTGGCAGAGCTGAGGCAGCCCCCGGCCGGGCTCGCTTCGGGCAGGGGACAGGGCACATCTGGCTGGATGACGTGGCCTGCACCGGGAGCGAGGATGCCCTTGCCCAGTGCCGAGCCCATCCCTGGGGGCAGAGTAACTGCAACCATGGAGAAGATGCCAGCGTGGTGTGTTCAGGTATGTCCTGGTCCTGCAACATGGGGTGTCCTGGGGAGCCAGGGGGGAGTCCATCTTGCGTCTTGCTGCCTCCGGAGTGATGCTGCAGCGGGATGGGATGGCCAAGCCCTTCCTTTTGCCCCAGCCCCAGGCATTGCCACCAGCACCGTGTGTGTTCCCAACCCACCATAACATTTCTACGGTGCTTCCAGACACCAGCGCAACCAACACTTCGACTGTCCGGCTCGTGGATGGCCCACATCGCTGTGCCGGCAGGGTGGAGGTCTTTCACAATAAGCAATGGGGGACAGTCTGCGACGACAGCTGGGACCTGAGCGACGCAGCGGTGGTCTGCCGGCAGCTGGGCTGCGGGGTAGCTGTCGCAGCCCCAGCAGGGGCTTCCTTCGGGAGGGGGCTGGATCCCATCTGGCTTGACAGGGTCGCCTGTGCCGGGGGGGAGAACGCCCTCGTGGAGTGTCGGGCCAGGCCCTGGGGAATGAACGGCTGCACCCACGAAGAGGACGCTGGTGTGGTCTGCTCAGGTGATGCTTATTCCTGCAGGGCCCTAAAAGCACAGCTTGGAGCTGCACCCTCTAACCCCCCCCAAAAAAAAGCCTTTTCGTCTCCAACCCAACCCCAGAAGCATTGGCTGCAGGAAAGAGATTTCAAGGGCACAGGGGCTCGTCCCCTTAGCAGTTGGTGTTGGCGCCCGTCCCCACACCCCAGTAGCCTGTGGAGCTGCCCTGATCCAACCGCCCTTGGCACAGCTGAGCAGGAAAGGGGGGAAAAAGGATGTTGATGCCCAGTTTGGGATGCGTGCTGCACCAAGACTCTGCTAGGTCCCAGCGAGGCTCTGAGAAAGGGGATATATTTCTCCCCTTCCCCATCAGGGACCGAGTCAGGAAGCCAAACGTAGGTGCCTGGTGGTGCTTATGAAGCCCCAAGGGCCATGCCCAAGGCAGGGCTCAGGCCAGGATCTGTCCTTCCATCCCACCGTGGCTGGGCATCTGCCCTAGGTTTGCACCCCGGCCGCTGCCACCAGAAAGCCCCGCCGGCCACGCGGTCCTCTTGTCCTCAACACTGCATCATCCGCTTCTCTGCCTGCAGACCTGGCCAAGGCAGAGGTAGCAGAGGTCCGCCTGGCAGAAGGACCGAACCGCTGTGGTGGGAGGGTGGAGGTGTTCCACGCCGGGCAGTGGGGGACGGTCTGCGACGATGGCTGGGATCTGAACGACGCGGCAGTGGTGTGCAGGCAGCTGGGCTGCGGCAGGGCCATGGCAGCCCATGGCCGGGCTCGCTTCGGGCAGGGGATGGGGCACATCTGGCTGGACGACATGAGTTGCACCGGGCACGAGGACAACCTCGCCCAATGCCGAGCCCGTCCATGGGGACAGAGTAACTGCCACCACGGAGAAGACGCTGGTGTGGTGTGCTCAGGTACATCCCAGTCCTGCAATACAGGCCATGCGGGTGGGGGATGAGAGGATCTATCCTGAATCTGGCTGCCTCCGGGGTGATGCTAGCTCTGGAAAGGCATGATTTCTGGGGAAGGGGGCTGCCAAAGGGTTATAGCCTCTTTTTGGCCAGGCTTGTCCCCAACCAGCAACAGGTTCCCACCCCATTCATAACCAACATCTCCTGGAAACCATCATCCCCCCTTCGTGGCACTAAGTGAGCCAAGCCAGGTCTCAAGGGGACCACCTGACCCCAAATCCCCAGCCTGGTCTCCATTGCCTGGTCCACACGCTTGCATAGAGGAGACACCACCATTTTAGGGTATGAAGGTGCAACTGAAGTCCATCCCCACAGCCATGCTCCTCTGGAAGGGTTGGGGGGGTTGCATCCCTTGCTAGGGGGTGACCATAACAACTCTGTATTTGCACCCTGGCTTCTGATTTGGGGATTTTTTTTTGGCAAGGTGATGGGTGCCCTGTTCTCCTTCCCTAACCGGCTTTCTCTTGGCAGATGCCAACGTCACAGAGGAGGCGCAGGTCCGCCTGGCCAACGGCCCGAACCACTGTGCTGGGAGAGTGGAGGTGCTTCACGAACAGCGGTGGGGGACCATCTGTGATGACAGCTGGGATTTGAAGGATGCCAAGGTGGTCTGCCGGCAGCTGGGCTGTGGGACAGCCGTGTCAGCCCCGGGCCAAGCTCACTTCGGGCAAGGGTTGGAGCCCATCTGGCTGGATGATGTGGAGTGCACCGGCACAGAGACAACCTTCTCCCAGTGCAGCCTTAGCAGCTGGGGACTCCATAACTGCAACCACGACGAAGACGCAGGAGTTGTGTGCTCAGGTGGTCCCTGGGGGGAATGCTCAGATGCCCCAAAAAAGGGTTTTATGTGGGACTGGGAGGGTGGCAGCGCTGGTGGGACATCAGTGATGGGAATGACCTTACAAAGGAGCTGGGGGGGGGAATCGTGCAGCAAGTACAGGTGGCACGTGGTATGCATGCCCATCCTTGCACGCGTACCCCTCCGGGGCCTTGCATACCCCTCTCCATCTGCCTGCTGGGTCGGGGGGGCCGACTCACCCCTTTTGCTCCTTCTTGCAGGCACAAACCCCTTGCCACTGCGGGTGCAGGATGGCCCCGGTCCCTGCGCAGGGCGGGTGGAGGTGCTCTACAACGCTACCTGGCACGGGGTGTGCAGCAGCAGCTGGAGCTTGCTGGAAGCCAGGGTGGTCTGCAGGCAGCTGGGGCGCGGGCCA